TGCAGCTCGCTCAGGTTTGAGGAGGCTGCACGCCTCGAGCCTGGCTGAGCGCTGACTCCCGCGTGCCCGATGCCCAGCGTCACTGAACGCTGCCCTGTCTCAGCCGCAGTGACTGTTCCCGCAGCCCCTCCTGCTTTATTCCTCCGTTATTTTAACTACACGCTGCCAAGCTGCTTTCAGCCAGGAGAGCTTGGAGCGTTCCTCGTGTGTGCCAAAATTGTAACAGTGCTGCAAAAATGCTGGACCCAGTCGAGATGCTCTCTGTACCCAACAGACACTGGCCAGGAAATGGCTGCTCCTCTGCCAGCGGGAGAGAATTCCTTATCTGGAGCATGACTTGGTTTTCTTTCTCCTGATACGTTCTTGTTTGGGCCAAAACTCTGCAACCGACTGGGCCATTAACTGCTTCTTTGTAATAAAATGAGTAGCCAGGAGCTTGCTGTGTTCCTTCGTAGCTCAGAGGGAGAGAAAGGACTGCAGGATAATTCTGGCTAATTTTAAATTAACCCAGTGTAAGCCAGAAAAACTTTATCTGGATTTGCAGTGGGTCTTAGATGGGTGTTTCTAAAGTCTGGCTGAAATGATGGGGCTTTCCCCCAGCAGTGGAGAAACCGGGGGAAGCTGGAGCCTGTGCCAGGCAGGAGGATGACAGTTTGGAATTGCATGACACTGCGGGCTGGTTTGCTCCCTCATCCCTGATAGCTGGGAGCACTGGTTGCCTGGTGCCCACCGCAGAGTGGTAGGAACGTGCCAAGGGGTATTTAGCCAGCCCCCCCTGCCCAAAGCTGCCCTGGGGACAGGTATCCCAGGGCCACCCGCCCCAACTGCTCTGTCCCGACTGTGCCCACCACCCTCCCAGCTCTGTCCTGACTCTGCCCACCACCCTCTGCCCAGGCAGGAGTTGGCTGTCTCTACAGCCTGATCTGGGGGTGTGCTGGGAAAACTTCCCCCTGAGCGGCGTTCCCACTGTGGTGGGATGGCGGAGGCAGCCCCACCGCAGTCCTCCATCTCCTGCCAGGGCTGGGGCAGCATGCCCCAGGGTGGCAGCTGTTCTCTGCCTTGATGCCCACCCTTAGCTGCTGCATTTTAACTCCTTGTCTGGGGCTGCAACAGAAACCAGCATGTAAAGTTGAAGGAAGGAAGATGCAGTGAAATTTTACAAATAAAATGGGTCTCTGTGGGGCTCGTCACTGGGAGGCGGGAGCATGGCCACCGTGGGACCTGGCTAAGGCACCCCTGCGCCCCTTCCAGCCTGAAAGGTGATGGATCCAGCCACCACCCAGGCTCTGCGCCGTGGGGCTGTGGGCAGGGACACGCTCACTCCCACTGCTGTCCCGGGAGGAGATGCTGGGTGTGGGGGCCAGGGCTGGGCGCTGACACAGCAGAGCCCCACGTCCCCGTCAGCCCAGGCTGGGAGCACCAGTGCCACCAAACGGTCCAAAGGCTGAATTTGGGCCAGAGGCACCTGAACAGGGGTCCCAGTGAGCCCCACGGCAGCAAAGCCAAGGCTACAGGCAAGACCTAGGGTGCTTCTCCCACCCAACCTATTGCTGGACCTCCAGGAGCAGCCTAGGCCCTTTCTCCCCAGCAGCACCCACCTCACTGCCCTCCTTGGGGCTGGGTGCCTCTCACCTGTGGTCTCCAGTCAGCATCTTCCCTTCACCACCAGCCCGAGGAGATGTCACATGGTGGTCCAGGCCCATCTCAAGCCAGGACACAAATCCCAGGCTCAAATTTGCATGAAGGGGAGACCCACTTTGGTAGGTCACCACCATCTCGTAGTGCCACTGGAAGAGCAGCCCAGCTGGGCCCAGGGCACAGGCAGAGCACCCCAGCATGTGCTGCAGG